TTTCTGCTCTGACTGATCCCAGTGTAGCAACATATGCCTAGCTGCAAAACAAAATATTTTGTATATAGTCATGTACAGTACAAGTCACCCTCATGCATAAGTCAGTGACATGTTTTGGGACCAAAATTATGGATCTTGATATCACCCGTGGATATGTGGAAGGTCATCCTGCAGAAAGGAGGAAAGCACCAATGCCATCCTGGCTGCCATTTCCTCACCCAGGCATTCAAAAAGGCCAGAAATGGCACCATGGTAGAGAGAGTAAAGGAGGTTGGTACTTCTTTTAGGTTTTTCCAGGGTGGGTGAAGCTCTTATTTTTTACCACTCCATTCAGATGATATGATTTGTTTGTTTTTTAAATAAGAATACAGTACATCACTTGCACTGACCTGCGGATAAATCAATCCTGTTTTTGGAGCTTGATTTTTTTGCATAAAATGTCTAGATCAGTGTTTCTCAACCTTCCCCTTAATACAGTTCCTCATGTTGTGGTCACCCCCAACCATAAAATTATTTCTGTTGCTACTTCATAACTGTAATTTTGCTACTGTTATGAACTGCAATGTAAATATCTGATAAGCGGGATGTATTTTCATTTACTGGACCAAATTTGGCCGATACACCCAAATTTGAATACTGATGGGGTTGGAGAAAGGATAATTTTTTGTCATTTGGAAGTTGCAGTTGCTGGGATTTATAGTTAACCTACAATCAAAGAGCATTCTGAACTCCACCAATGATTGAATTGAACCAAACTTGGCACACAGAACTCTCATTACTAATAGGAAATACGTACTCTAAGGGTTTGGTGGCTACTGATCTTGAGTTTTGTTGTTGTAGTTCACCTGCATCCAGAGAGGACTTTGGACTCAAACAATGACAGATATGGACCAAACTTGGCAGGAGTACTCAATATGCCTAAATGTGAACACCGGTGAATTTTTGGCAAAATAGACCTTGATATTTGGGAGTTGTAGTTGCTGGAACTGATAGTTCACCTACAATCAAAGAGCACTCTGAACCCCAACAACAGCAGAATTAGGTCAATCTTCCCATAAAGAACACCCATGACCAACAGAAAATACTGTTTTCCAATGATCTTTGGTGACCCTGTGGACACCCCACTCATGACTCCCCCCCCCAGGGGTACCGACTCCCAGACTGAGAAATGCTGGTCTAATACACAAGTATATAGGTCATTCAGGCCCCATCTGCACTGACCATTCAATGCAGCTTATAAACAGCAGTCTAACTCACACAAAATGACTCTGAAAGTATCTAGAGAAGGTTTTTATAAAAAGTATTGGAATAAGGTGATGGAAATTTACCTCCACATGAAGAACTGAACTTTTGGTGGGATTTTAAAAGAAGACTGTTAGACCTTGGACTGTATATGAACAAGACTGTTTCTGATGACCAAGTGAAAGCTCAATTAGTGCAATTCGACTTCATTGCCAGGATATATATTTCCTGTGGATAAGAAGAGGTATCTAAGTTTTCAACCCAAATGGCTCAACAGATTTCCCTGATTGACCTATTCATTTCATGTACAAGGTGTATTCTGTAAGTATGGTGTGGTGTTTGGAAGAGAAGTTGGGGGTAAAGGTGGTCATCAGAAACTTGGTGCATTGGTAAACCATTGCTAAACCATTTGTGTATTGGAAAGATGCAATAGAAGACTTCAATGGATAGCAAAAAACAGAGCACCAGCGGAACAATTTGTGCTTGGCTGAAAACTTATTGCTAATTCACAGTGGAAACATCCTCATGAGAAAGGAAGTAAGAAGAAAGCAGAAGAAAACAGAAAGGTCTGCTAATTGTGGAAACTATAGTCTTTGTGGCCAAGAAGAGGGAGCAATGATTCAGGACCCATTACCTGTGAAGAACCTTTGACCAATGATGTTAATTTCAGTGTGTGGAACATTTGATGGAGGTTTTACCATCAAATATACAATTTGAAGGGCAACCAATGGTGGCTGAAAGAAGAACAAGTTTGTCCCAGATTTCTGTGCCAGAAACAAGTCTGTGTTGCTGGAAGTGAACCTAGGGAGACCATTTCATCAGGGACTGCCCTTTGGCCAAAGAGACCTGGCAAAAGGTGGTCATCGTCTTTGACTGGCTGACTTGGTGCTCCAACCTTGGGAGGTGACAGCCTCTGGAATGGAGCTGGAAACTGGTATTTGGGGGCCACATCGACACCAAGGAAGGAAGAGGGGACAGCAGGGGGACATTCGGGAGACCTTTTGGGATGCTCCTTGGTCAACGACAAGGTTGATCAACTTGTATGTTCTACTGGCCCCGATTTTCCAGAGAAACTGAGAAACAACAATTCAAAACCCAGCAAATGTTATCTCTAGTACGAATCTGGTAGCAAAGAAAATAGGAGCCCTGAGTAAAACAGAACCAGGCAGGATGCCCTCTAACTGATGGAAGAAGTTCTGGCCCTGGCTGGCAGAGACTACACCTGGGATCACATGAAGGGTTTTAGATAGATAGATAGATATAATTAATACAAAAGAAAACTTTGAAAACCTTGATATATATCAACTGAGATATATATATGTGAATTTACAATTGTGTTTGTATCTATAACTGTATTTGTAATTGAAACCAAAGAAGAAAGAAAATTTGTTGAAGAAATATAGCAACTGGTTCTGTAACTGTAATGATTTAGAAAAGGTAAATGTTGCAAGCTTTGTAAATATTGCAAAACCCAGTGGCACAGTGGATTAAAGCGCTGAGCTACTGAACTTGCTGACCGAAAGGTTGCAGGTTCAAATCCAGGGAGCAGCGTATGCTCCCACTGTTAGCCCCAGCTTGCAAATGTGAGTAGATCAATAGACACCACTCCAGTGGGAAGGTAACAGCGCTCCATCCAGTCATGCTAGCCACATGACCTTGGATGTGTCTATGGACAACGCTGGCTCTTCGGCTTAGAAATGGAGATGAGCACCAACCTCCAGAGTTGGACACGACTGGACTTAATGTCAAGGGAAAACCTTTAACTAAGTATGTCTCATTTGATTGTAAATTGTTAGCAAATGTGTTTGTAGTGCGTATTTATGATTATAATAAAAATTACTTACATTCAATGATGGTCATTTCAGGGCCTTGTTAAGATCCCGTGCCAGATCAGGAGATTCTGGCTTGAAAAAGTCATTTCAATGGGGGGTTTCAACCCCTCCTGAATTATTTCTGGCTACACGGCCTGATTTGGGGGATGCTTATGATCACCTGCACAGTGAAACCACTTTCAAAAGGTTTATTATATGGCCAGTGTAGATCAGAGTTTCTCAACCTACCTAATGCTGTGACCTCTTAATACAGTCCCTAATGTTGTGGTGACCCCCAACCATAAAATTATTTTTGTTGCTACTTCATAATAGTAATTTGGCTACAGGAGCCCCTGTGGCGCAGTGGGTTAAACTCCTGTGCTGGCAGGACTGAAGACCGACAGGTTGCAGGTTTGAATCTGGGGAGAGCGCAGATGAGGCCACAAGGATGGTAAAACATCAAAATATCTGGGTGCTTCCTGGGTAAAGTCCTTGCAGATGGCAATTTCTCTCACACCAGAAGTGACTTGCAGTTTCTCAAGTCGCTCCTGACACGACAAAAAATGAATTGTAATATAAATCTCTGATATGCAGGGTGTATTTTCATTCAATGGACAAAATTTGGCACAAATACCTGATACGCCCAAATTTGAATACTGGTGGGATTGGGGGGGGGGGGTTGGGGTGAGTGGGAGATTACTATACACTCTTAGCCTCTACACCTGGAATATTGTTTCTAATTCTGGGCACCACAATTGAAGGGAGATATTGACAAGCTGGAATGTGTCCGGAGGAGGGCGACTCAAATGATCAAGGGTCTGGAGAACAAGCCCTATGAGGAACGGCTTAAGGAGCTGGGCATGTTTAGCCTGAAGAAGAGAAGACTGAGAGGAGACATGATAGCCATGTAGAAATATGTGAGAGGAAGCCACAGGGAGGAGGGAGCAAGCTTGTTTTCTGCTTCCCTGGAGACTAGGACATGGAACAATGGCTTCAAACTACAAGACAGGAGAGTCCAACTGAACATGAGGAAGAACTTCCTGACTGTGAGCGCTGTTCAGCAGTAGAACTCTCTGTTCTGGAGTGTGGTAGAGGCTCCTTCTTTGGAGGCTTTTAAACAGAGGCTGGACGGCCATCTGTCGGGGGTGATTTGAATGCAATATTCCTGCTTCTTGGCAGGGGGTTGGACTGGATGGCCCATGAGGTCTCTTCCAACTCTATGATTGTATGGTGGCCAACCATCCCTTGTGGCAGCATGTGCCACGCCTTGCATGATCCCCCGCTTTCCCATCCCATGCTACTGCTGCATGCTGCTGCCCAGAGAGGCTTCTTCTCCTCCTCCTCGAGGGCGCGCGACTCAAGGAGAGAGAGGGAGACCCCTGAAAGCGGGCGCGCGCGCTCCCTCGGCTCCCTCGGCTCCCTTCCTACCTCCTTCCTGCGACTGGGGGCGCCGGGGCGCGTGAGCAGCGCGGTCTCCTCGCACACCACGGCCACGTCCTCCACGAAGATGCAGTCCGGGAGGCTCTCGTCGGCCGGCAGCTCCAGCACCTGCAGCCCCAGCTTGTTCTTCAGCACCGCCACGTAGAGCTGGAACTCCCGCTCGGCCCGCGCGAAGTCCACCACCTCCGACGCCTTGGCTTTCCGGCGCAGCGCCTGGCGGCTCAGGGACTCCGGCGGGGCACGGACCACCGCGTGGCTGCACCGGCCCAGGCCCCCAGCACCCCGGCCCGCCATCATCGCCCAGAAAACGAGGACGAGGAGGAGGATGGAGGAGCGCCTCTCTCTCTCTCTCTCTCTCTCTCTCTCTGGCTCTCCCTCTCCGTCTCTCAGAGCCCAGAGAGCAAGGCGGTGGTGGGCGCGCTGCGGATTGGCCGCTCGCATCCAAGGCTCGCGCATCTCCTCCGCAGCGCCCATTGGCTGGCCCTTTGGGCCGCCGCATCCCATTGGTCGGGAGGCTTTTACCTGAGCGCTGATTTACAACCTTGGCGAACCTTGGAGATGCGCTGCCGTTCCCTCCAGCCCTTTGGCGCCCGCCCGGCCCTCGCGCCTCGGCCTGGAGGGCTCGGCACCTGCTCCGGGATGCATGCAGGCCTCATTGGGTGCCCTGGCTCACTTGTTTCCTTGGAAAGAAATATAGCATTGTAATATTTAGGTAGGTAAACGTTTGCCTTTGACATTAAGTCCAGTCGTGTCCAACTCTTGGGGGGGGGGGGGGTGCTCATAACCATTTCTAAGTCAAGCCGGCATTGTCCATAGACACCTCCATGGTCATGTAGCCGGCATGATGGAGCGCCGTTTACCTTCCCGCTGAAGCGGTACCTATTGATCTACTATTGATCTACTCACATTTGCATGTTTTCAAACTGCTAGGTTGGCAGAAGCTGGGGCTAACAGCAGAAGTTCACCCCACTCCCTTTTCGGTCTGCAAGTTCAACCCACTGTGGCACTGGGGGCTCCATCAGAAAGCTAGGGCATATTTATTTATTTATTTCGGGTACTTTTATCCTGCCCCTCTCAACCCCCGAGGGGGGACTCAGGGCAGCTTACAAAAGGCACTATTCGATGCCTATACAAAAATTATACATCGTGTACAAAACCATAGTTAAAACAATTATCACAGTTCAAACAATCATAACAATCAATATACATCACATCATATAAATACTATTCATATGCTCAGCGTTCATCTTTCAGAGTTCCAAATTCCATTGCATTAGCCATTTCCTGGCCATTCTCAAAGTCCTTTCTTTATCTGCATGATTGTCCGAATGCCTGGTCCCAAATCCATGTTTTCAGTTTTTTCCTGAAGGAAAGGAGTAATGTCACTGATCTAATTTCCCCGGGGAGCAAATTCCACAGGTGGGGGGCCACCACCGAGAAGGCCCTGCTCCTCATCCCCACCAACCTCACTTGTGATAGAGGCGGGGTCGAGAGCAGGGCCTCCCCAGAAGATCTTAGACTCCGGGGTGGGACGTAAAGGGAGATCCATTCGGACAGATACACTGGGCCGGAGCCGTATAGGGTTTTGTAGGTCAAAACCAGCACTTTGAATTGTGCTCGGAACTGGATCGGCAGCCAGTGGAGCTGACATAACAGGGTGGTGGTATGCTCCCTGTATGACGCTCCAGTGAGCAATCTGGCTGCCTCCCGCTGGACTAGTTGGAGTTTCCGAACAGTCTTCAAAGGCAACCCCACATAAACCTCACTATCTCAGCCACCTTCATGGAGAATTTTTGAGTATTTGGGATTTGGATGATGGATGGTTAAGCTATATTATTCCTCACACACATGATGGCATATAGTTTTAGAGCAATAATATTTACTTCTGATGAATAAACACCTGCTATTTCAAAAAAGCTACAAAGCCCATCTCTCAAAGGAGAGGCGACAATAGAATAAATGAATTTTCTGTATGCACTTAGATGTCACTCTCAGATTCCATGAACATTTTTGGTTTTATCCTAGCATTATTTATATAGGGAACATTTCCCCCCTCTCTCTTTCTCTTTCTGTCTCGTGCCAGTGAATTTTACTTTCTAGAGCTAGTATAGTATTCCCCTGGTACACCAAACTATGTGTTAAATGTAAGTGAAGTGTCTTGACAGTATTCCTTAGTTATCCATCCTTGCACATTTTCATCTCTGGATAGCAGCACTACTATACACTCTTAGCCTCAGAAAACCCTATGATAGAATTGCCTCAGGGTTGCTCTAAATTGGAGATGAAGGCACAAAAGAACAAATGTCCTAATGTATTAAAAGTAGGAGAATTATTGCTATGTATAAAACAAGTGCTTTCATGAGGAAGAAACAAGGCCACTCTATAAAACAAGGCCCTTAAGTCCCAACCCAGTAAGGCAAGCCTAGAAGGATACCATGGTTGGTCATCCCAAAATATGTCAAGAACCAGCAGGGTCACATTCCCACTGTCTTGTTTGTGACATAGGTGGCCAAAGTTGCATTTTCCCCATAACCAGATTGCAATGGATCTAGATCAGGCATGAGCAAACTTCGGCCCTCCAAGTGTTTTGGACTTCAACTCCTACAATTCCTAATAGGGTATTGGCTGTTCGGAATTGTGGGAGTTGAAGTCCAAAACACACGGAGGGCCAAAATTTGCCCATGCCTGATCTAGATAATCTGTCTCATCTAGAAGCCCCTAGATTAGGAAAACGTGAACACATGCTCCTAAATATTGGAATGTTACAGATAAGCCAAAATTCATTTAAATTGCTCAGATCCAGGGAGGGCTTGTTTTATCATTAACTGCCTTGTTTTATCATTCATCACTCCCTCTACCCACTTGGCCAGTTCAACCATGGCTTTTTAAAGGAGTCAACAAGGACAAAGATCTAGCACATGTGGCAGCTCTCACCTCTCCAAGACTCCTGTCCACATCCTTGAGTTGCACAAATTAAGACACCTCCATTATACTGGCCAGCACACATTTTGTTGCCTCAAATTTAGCCCTGTTTCTGACTATATTTGACCAGCTGATTCCAAAAACGGCCCCAGCTCTAGCTACAGAACATATGTCATATACCAGTCCTCATCTGCTAGGCCATAAAGAATCATGATAACCATATCTAAGAAACAAAGGCTGATGTATTGTCGAAGGCAGGGGCGGCTCAACCCATTACGCAAAGTAAGCATTTGCAGTATAGTTGATTTTGCCAGGGGCGCTCTTGAGGCACTCTTGGGGGAAAATAGACCTTGACATATGCGAGTTGTAGTTACTGGGATGTATAGTTCACCTACAATCAAAGAGCATCCTGAACTCCACCAATGATGGAATTGAACCAAATATGGCACACAGAACTCCCACGACGAACAGAAAATATATATCAGTGATTGGTTGGGGGGGGGGGCGCCAAAATACTGTTTGCTTACCGTTGAAAATTACCTAGGGCTCCCTCTGTTTAGGGCCAGTTAATTCTGGAGATTGTTGATGTTGCAATTTCAGGTGACAGCAGGATTGATTTTTTAGAAGCGAATTCCATCTCCTGACGTTTCACCTGCATCTATGGGAGGCATCCTCGAGATTGTGAGTCTGTTGGAAACTAGGAAAATTGGGTATTCACAGATATATAAACCCAATTTTCCTAGTTTCCAACAGACCTCACAACCTCTGATGATGCCTGCCATAGATGCAGGTGAAACGTCAAGAGAGAATGCTTCTAGAACATGGCCATATAGTCCGAAAAATCTACAACCCGAAGGCTAATGTGCTCTATCCAATGCAATTTTATGAATCAGCACCCCAGATAACCTCATGAACAGACCTAAAAACCAAGATTTTGTGTTGGGCTGTGTTTTAACTGGACAAGCAGAGGCTAGTCTTAGGCTGGATCTACCCTGCCATATAATCCCAATTATCAAAGCAGATAATCCACATTATCTGCTTAGAACTGTATTATTTGAGTCTACACTGCGTATAATTCAGTTCAAATCAGAAAATCTGGATTTTATATGCCAATGTGGATGGGGCCTTACAGTCACTGGATCTGGGTCAATGACCAACTTCCATGTGGGTCTGAATTTTATCTGAAAATTGTGATCTTTGCAGATGCAATACAAGCAAATGAAGTAGGGAGCTAGTAGCAGTAAAACTAACATTGGCAGAAAACTTGGGAGTGAGTTCAATCAAATTCATGCTAAAATATGCTTTGTTTGCTTGTATTACATCTTAAAAGAGCCAGCCAGCTAGCTGTTTCAAGTGTTTGGGGGTGTTTTGCATATAGGCCCTTCCTTTTTCTAAGCTATTTTCCCAATGGAGGGGTTGGCACTGTGACTACCGTCTCCACAGGGCTTTGTTTTGGGCTTCCTCAGGTCTCAAGTTGGCAGCATGCATGTCTTCATTGATGGTGTCCATCCATCTTTTCTTTGGCCATCCATGTGGTCATCATCCTGCAATCTCCAAATGTCATGCTGGTTGTGCTACTGATAATGTTGGTTCTCTTCTCATGACATGACTGTACCACTGTGGTCTTGCTTCATGTATTTTCTTGCTGAAAGCTTTTATTCCTGGTCTTTGACTGATATCATCATTTGGCACATGATCAAGAAGTGTCAAGCCAAGTGTCCATCTCAGCATTTTCGAGTCACAGAATGCCAGTAGCTTGCCACCATTTCAACCAGGCTGTGTTTATTTATGACCATACATCTGGCATTGTGTCACCATCTATGGAGACCAGTGACTCTATTTAAATTGGGTGGCCTTCTTTAATGCTTGCCCATTACATTGAAATGCTTTTGAAGTTTGAAGGCCACATTCCAGGTACTCTGTTTTGAGTATGTTCAGTTGAAGTCCATTTTCACTGAGTCTACCATTATGTCTACAGCTGTTGTTGTAGGGCTACACGTTTTTGGTGGCCAAGTGCCATGTCATCCGCATATAGCAGTGTCCAGAGATGCATAGTTTCCAAATCTGCTGTAGCAGTGTCCATGCAGAGTATGAATAGTAATGGTGAGAGTGCTGATCCCTGATGCAGGCCAACAGTAATGTTGAAAAATGATAAAATCCCTTCAGGGCAGCGGACTATAGTTGTATTTTTGTATAGTAGCTTTATCCATGTTGCATAGTCTTCTGGTATGTGACTGTAGTGCTCGCCAAATCAGGTCATGGGGAACCCGATCAAATGCGTTTTCATGATCAAGGAATGCCAAGTGCAGTGGTTTCTTCTTTTCCCAATGTTTTTCCATGAGTAACTGGACAGCATGTATTGTATCTATTGTGCCACACCCCCTGACAAAGCCACACTGATTTGATGTAATGACAGTTTGACCTGCTTTACATACAGGGCCAAGAGAGTAAAATCGAAACCACTCTACAGCCAGCTGTGAACAACTTGCCTCTCGGGGAGCTGGTTCCACTACACTTGAGAGAAAACTTAGGAGTGAACATATCCAGCACCTTGGCTATTTCTCCATTTCATAAATGGGCCAATACTTTAACAGAATCACCTGCTAAGGCAACATAAAATGGCTGAAGAGTTATAAGGAATTCATCTGGATCCATGAATTTCTGAGATGGATCGTGTTCTTAGGTCCATCATCCTGCAGAGGTTATTACTCCTAGCAAGTCGAAACCTGAGTCAGCAGTGATTTGTGCATGACAATAGACATTCAGATAGTTCCTCCACCCCCAGATCATCATCATCTCATCCAGCAGAGAAAAGAAGACCCAGAGTGTGCCCAGGAGAATGGGTAGGGCCAGATGTCATTTGGGACAAGCCCATTGTTATGGTGGACACAAGGACATGAATTGCTCCAGACAGAGCAGTTTTAGAGTAGATGTTGAAATTTTAAGGAAAAAATTCCCCCAATGTTCAAATCAAGCCAAAGAGAATAAAACACTAACCCCAAGAGTACCTAAGCTAGCTCTGGAAGAGATACTGTTGAGCAGTGGGATTGGTAGTATACCAAAAGAATCTAGTTTCATATAGACACAGACACAAAACACTGGGATAGGGGATCTGGTCGGTATTGTTTATTTACTTACTTACTTACTTACTTATTACGACATTTCTACCCCACCTTTCTCACCCCAGAGGGGACTCGAGGCAGCTTTCCACACAGGCAATGATTTGATGCCTTAAAACACAATGTACGCAAGTCAGTTGCCCAGTAGCCCACTGTACTCCACCTCCTGCCCCCTAGGTTTCACCTGCTGCTGTCCGTAACCAGTGGGTCACCAGATGTTTTTGCTTTCAACTCCCAGAAATCATAACATCTGGTAAACTGGCTGGGATTTCTGGGAGTTGTAGGCCAAAACATGGAGACCCACAAGTTGAGAACCTCTGATGTAGATCATTCCAACTGCACAAAATCATCTCTCCTACCCTACCACTAAAACAGACAAACACACACGAAGCATGCATTACTCCTTGTATAGAATCTATATCAGTTGTAATTTCTCCCAAAGATGCGAAAACTTACCTACTGCACAACCATTCATTTATGAATCTGCCTTAGTTCATTATCTAAAAGAACAATCCAATGGTTCCTGAACCCATCTAAATCCCAGTTAATTCAAATTTACAGCACTGCAAGTGCCATTTCTGCTGTCCCATCAGATTTGTGCAGCTAAAACCTGTTTCTCTCCAAAGTGACGCTTCTCCTGTTTTCAGCATAATTGTCTGATAAACACAGTCCTCTAAGCCTGTAACAAACTCTTAATGGGTCTAGTTTCCTTTCTATTTTTCCCATTGTATAACCCCCCCCCCCCAACCCTACACGTCTCTAGTGAGATTCAGTAACTTAACACAGACATAATGTTCCAGTTGAAAGCTCTTGTTCCAGGAAAAGGTGTAAATGCTGGCCATTATGTTCACTTTAAGTGGCCCCAATAGCAGCCTGCGGTAGCAGGCTTTGTTGCTGCTAAAGAATAATGAGCCCCAAAAAGACATGTAGTGAATCTGTTCACATAAGGCAGAACTGTTGCTGTTGCCGTTGTGTTCCTACAAACTGTTTCCAAGTTCTGGCGACACAAATCTATGACAGAGTTTTCTCAGACTTGTGGAACTTGCCCATGGTCACCCAGTGGATTTTTCTGGCCAAGTGGGAATTTGAGCATTGGAAATACTGATCTATAATATTTATACATGATAACTAGCTTAAATTAATTTTAACAAGCAGAGTAATGTGAAGTATACACCTTCAATGGAATGCACAAGAACTGGATTCCAAATAGCTACCTTTCCTAATAGGAATGGCATAGGAATTGTTTACCACAGAGTAAGCTGTTCTTCAATAAAGAACACCAGACACACAGAACAGTGGCACCAGCTGAGGAAAGTGTGTTTATGCGTAATGCCATAGCACCAGACAAGAAACAATAAATGGGGTTTAGAACAGGGAGTAATAAATTCAGTAAACTGGAATTATATTTCAGGAGGAATGCTGGTGCTGGAATTGGTACTCGAGGAGGAGGAGGAGGAAGATTTGTTGTTGCTGTAGCTGAAGATGTCATTAATGAAAAATGGAATGTTAAACAGACAAAAATGGAACTGAAGTAAATGGATAGGGAATTTTACAAAACCTTTTCAAAAGATATATTGAATTAAACTATTGACTTTATATTAAATATCCACAAGAGAAAGCAAAGCAAACACAGACAGACAAATGAGGGAATAATAGTACCAAGACAGAACAATCCTTAATTAAGCAAATAGACACACACACGCGCGCAAGCACACTCGTACTGAAATCAAAGAAATAACTTTTTTCTTAACTAGGGAAAGAGAGGCTATGTTTACTATTTAAATGGAGGAAGAGGAACACCAGCTCATGGGTGGGGTGTGGGGTAGGGTTTAGATCCATTGTAATACCCCACCTTTTGCAAACTGGGAAAGTCGACCCCAAAGGGGGATTCTCTTTCTTCTCCTCAGCCAGCACTTCCAGAAGCCCCTTAAAATGCTGTCTGAGAGCAGAGTAGGAGGCAATAAAGATTGGATCAAGATCAAACTTCAGGTGGCGCAATGGGTTAACCCTTTGTGCTGGCAGGACGGGTTCAAATCCGGGGAGAATGGGTTGAGCTCCCTCTGTCAGCTCCAGCTCCCCATGCGGGGACATGAGAAAAACCTCCCACAAAAATGGTAAAACATCAAACATCTGGGCATCCCCTGGGCAACATCCTTGCAGATGGCCAACGCTAACCATAATCTCTTATATGTCTGGGTTCCAGTCTTCCTGTCAAAGCATACTAACTATGGAGGAGTCCCTGTTTAAATCTGCCACAGGAAAGAAAGTCAACTTATCAGTCACGAAAGATGTAATGGTTCCCTCTTTGGTCCTCTCTCTTCAAAGTTTTTGGAGAAATGAAACCTAGACTGATGTTCTTTCAGGACAAAATATTGTCTACCTTTCAATTTCACAAAGTGTGGAGCCACAGTGGCGTAATGGGTTCAACCCTTGTGCCATCTGAACTGAAGGTCGGTGGTTTGAATCTGTGAGATGGGGTGAGCTCCTATTTGTCAGCTCTAGCTTCTATGCGGGGACATGAGAGAAGCCTCCCACAGAATGATAACACATCCGGGCGTCCCCCGGGCAACGTCTCTGCAGATGGCCAATTCTCTCACACCAGAAGTAAATTGCAGTTTTTCAAGTTGCTTTGATATGATAAAAAATTACAAAGTGCTAATGTAGCTTTGAGTCCCATATTGGGAGAAAAGTGGGACATAAATCATACATCAAGTGCAAGTTCAGTCCAGCTTCAGTTCTGGTTACTTTGGATGGAAGTTTTCTTCATTTTGAAGAATACCAAAACCACTTCTGTTTTGGTTTAGGGTCTCCATCTGAACCTATTCCCATTCTGTATGGTGGAATCAGTGATGCTGCTTTAAAAGGGAACAGTACCTGCAATTCATGGCCAAAGTAGAAAAGCAACCCTATCTTGCCATGGTCAGGTGTAGCACATCCCCTACTTTGATCACACGTCACCAGTGAGCATACGCTATGGGATGTAAAAGCCCCTCATCCTAACATAGTTTTTTTAATTAGGTCCTGGTTTGATGTTTTAGTTGATAGGAAAGTTACCATCAGAATAAATTTTTAGCAATTGGCATTTAATTCACCTAGTATGGTATAATGAACCTGGCATTTTGTCGGATAAGATTCCTTATATGAAAATAAACAGCAGTTTCAGCAAATCTGACAGTTAGGCAGTTAGTGGGGGAGAAAACCTGCTGTCAAGGATGATGCTTTGGAAATCAGCTTTGACAGCATCCCTTTTTACTTCTCTAAAAGCTAGAGGGAACGGACAAAACTCCGAGGCACTCTGAATGCTTGGAAATTAAAGTGCAGGGAGACATGCCAGTCAAAGGGAGAATAAACACTGCTGCTTTGCACATCAGATGTTTGTTAAGCTTGCTCTCCTTTTACAGAAGTGCCCCAAATTCCCACATGAAAGAGCTAAATGAGGTCTGCTGCAGGATCTTATTTTTAATCCCCTCCCTAGTAAAAACAAGACTAGAAAAATCTCTGCAAGCGAAAATTAGCACAAGGAGAAAAATCCTAATCCAGTATTTTCTTCCACCTATCTGTATATTTTCCTTCGTATAATAGGATTCCTACCAGGGGCTGATGTTTCCATTAAAGACAGGTGAGATAGACTCACTGACTTAGAAGAGACCAAATGTTCCACCCAGTACAACCCCCTGACAGCAAGGAACACACAATAAATGCAGCTGCTGTTTGAAAACCTCCAGAGAAGGAGAATCAACCATACTCCAAGTAACTTCTGACCCTTTGTGATCTCGGACCAGCCCATGACAGAGCTCCCTGTTGGCAGTCACCAGCTCCTTCAGAGTCAAGCCAGTCACTCAAGGATACCATCCACCCATTACAAGTATGCTTGGCAGGGAAGAGAGACAGGGCCTTCTCAATGGTGGCCCCTCGGATATGGAACACCCTCCCTAGGGATATCAGATTGGCTCCCTCCCTCTTAACATTTCGGAGAAAAGCTAAGACATGGTTGTTTGAGCAAGCGTTTACAATTGCAGAGTAACTGACATAGGAAATGGAATGACTAGACGATGGAACTGGACAATGTTTTAACAAGGAGACACTAATGATGTTGGTTTCATTGTTTCTGTTGTGGTTTTATATTGTTTTAATTTGTTAATTTGTATTTTGATATTATGTGTACTGACTTGTTGTAAACTGCCTTGAGTCGTCGACAGGCTGAGAAAGGTGGTATACAAATACAACAAACAAACAAACAAACAAATAATTAAATAGCTGCCTTAGGCAGCAAGTTTGTAAGAGGCAGAAGCAAAGTGTTGGGAGGACAGGGCAGTATATGTCACAGTTTCTTGACTGCAGTCCCATCACCTGAGTTGAAATGAAACAGAATGTAAGGACTTTATAACACAAAGATATTATTCTACAGGAACTGTGTGAGTGTAAGTAATAGTGAATGCATGCCAACATGAGCAACCTCATTATTGCACATCCCTCCATTTGCCTATCCATGGTCCCGTACTCCTGCATAACCTCATAACCCTGCCCTCATGCACTTCTAATGCGCTGTAATTTTAATAAACAAAGTAAGAAAGCAATTCAGTCTTTCCAGCCATGGTTAATGTTGGAGAGGAGGCAGGCCAACAATGGGATGGATGTGGTAGGACCCTAGTCTGGTTGGCTTCTGCTTCAGACAGCAAGTATCTTAAGTTAGCCCTGGTTTAAACTGCACACAGAAGTGACACAGAGCACTTTAGTACTTATGGACCATGCGACTTAATTCTACATCTAGGTTGCTATGAGATTTCTGTAAATCCTTATGTTCTGTTATTTTTCTTTTCCAGTGCGGGACCCCACAGGTCAATGGCCAGGGATCCGAGCAGATGTCCCCCATGCAAGAAACTGATTATCTTGCACATCGTGGGTATGTCTTGCACACCATGAGTATAAAGAGGCAATCTTGCCTTGGACAACTTGCTCAAACAGAAGTTTGTTGATTCTGAAATAATAATAAAAAAGCTTTGATTTGATTAAAAAGTAATGTATTCAGCACTGTACAAGAAGAGCGAGCATTCAAGCACAGAGGTCATTCTTAAGTGAGTAGAAATATGGCATCTAAATGCAGTCATTATATTCAGGTCACATATTTACTTGTATAGAAGACATGAGAGAGTATTCGCATCTAAATTATAGTGCTTTCATACAATAGCAACAGTAAGAATCGGCACTGTAAGTGCTAACTAAACAAACAAGTTTCTTCTGTTCACAAATGATCCCTGAACACATAAGATAAGTGCTGGTGTCACATTTGAATTGTGAACATGTGTATTTTTAGCAGTTTTGCTGTTCACGGCTTTAGAATATATTTTTAAGGATTCATCTTAAGGGGGGAAACCCAAACCCACTGAGTGTTAGTCAAAGAGACAATCACACAGAGATTAAATACAGTGTGTGCCATGCTCAAATCATCACTGAGTAGAAAATTTTCATTTAAAGGAATCCAAGGTGAACAATGAAGCATATATTGCAATTCAGGATTGAAATGGAAATAAGTTTTTTTGTTGGCAGTGCATTACATTGTGAATTCTTAAAATATGCAATACTGCAATGTGAGCAATCACATATTAAATTTTAGTGAGCTAGCAGTTTGCATTCTTGAGATTTGGCAAAACAGCCACTTTGGGTGCCTGTGTGTCCAGCTTTGGAGAGGGCAGTCAGAGGGGACCCGTTCTCTATTCGATGCCTTCTATTTGAGGTCTGGTTCATGTCTGATTTAAACAAAAAGAAGAGAGCAGGGGTCTCCAATATAGCAACCAGGTGACAGACTGATATATGACTGATTCACAGTCTTCCCTACTATGTGCAATATTTTTATGAAAGCATGTTCTCTCCTTGTTGTTGAAGATTTTCATGGCTGGAATCACTGGGTTGCTGTGAGTTTCCCAGGCTGTATGGCCATGTTCCAGAAGCATTCTCTCCTGATGTTTCACCCACATCTTTGGCAGGCATCCTTAGAGGTTGTGAAGCACAATTAAGCCCTGGCAGACTGTGAAAAAAGAATCTGCGAACCCCATCTCCTCCAAGGTAAACTGAAGCACCTAAACTGGGCTTTACAGGCCAGTGGAGACACCACCACAGACATCAGAAGAGGTGCACGACCAAGAACAAGCCACGAGAGTAAAGACAAAGATCCACCCAGAGGAAAAGTGTTCTTACCACACATCAAGGGAACCACTGACTGCATAGGAAAGCTGATGAGGAAACACAACCTACAAACTTATCTACAGACCCACTAAGAAAATCCAACAAATGATACCTTCACCAAAGGTCAAGAGGGATCCTCTCACCTCTGCAGAAGTCTACCATATACCATGCAGCTATAGACAAGTCTACATAGGGACCACAAAACGCAGTATTACGCAAATACCAATCAAGGAACATGAAAGGCACTGCAGACTAAGTCAACCAGAGAAGTCAGCTATAGCAGAGCACCTGATGAACCAACCTGGAGACAGCATATTATTTGAGAACACAGAAATGCCGAACCACTCTAACAACCACCATGTCAGAGTACACAGAGAAGCCACTGAAATCCACAAGCATGTGGATCATTTCAACAGAAAGGAGGAAACCATGAAAATGGACGGAATCTGGCTACCACTATTTAAAAAACGCTAAAATCAGGACAGTAAATGAAGAGCAACACTCAAAAAGCAGGGGAATTCCACAGGAAATAATCAGGGCCAGCTAACACCCCCAACAAAGGATTCCTCCAGGCAGGAACAGCCAGGCTTTGAAGCTGCAAGGTCATTCAGTGCTAATCAAGGTGGCCAATTGCAACATTCACACTTGCCACAAACAGACAAGAGTCCTTTCTCCCACCCCAGACATTCCACAGAGATATAAACCTCACTTGCCTAGTTTCCAATTGACCTCACAACCTCGGAGGATGCCTGCCATAGATATGAGTGAAACGTCAGGAGTGGATGCTTCTGGAACATGGCCATACATCCCAGAAAACTCACAGCAACCCAGTCTGTTCTCCCTTTTGTTTTATTTATTGGCAGTGAATGAGAAGTCTCTGATATTGACCGAAATATAAACACAAACCTCTCCAATGCCATTTAGATAGGATACCAACTTTCTGTTCACTTTATACTTATGCTTGCAAGATTTCAGCTTCTTCTTCCTTATATCTGCATTTTTGTTTCTATTAAGGTTGAGCCCTAAGAGGCTTCATTGGAAGCCAGACCATGATAAATAGATTGAATGAGAAACCATTTCTAGGCTTCCCATACCATTACAGAAAATCACACCTGAGAGGAGATTTAGTGTTAATTTTTTGAATGAAAATTGGTTGTTACTACATTTTTACTGCCGGGGATGAGAAGTGTTTGCTGCATTTTTGGCCTTCTACGCCAAAACAACTTTGTGGAGTTGGGTTATAAATTGGAGTGGGGTGGGGTTATTACTCTTTCTACGAAAGCAAAATGTCTTTGGCCAGCCCAGACTGCTTCCTTGATTTATCCTGAAATGATTCCAAAGCAAATCAATTTAGTTCAGTTGAGTTTCTAGTGCTTTAAGAGAGGAAATTATTTATTTTTATTTACTTCTGTCATGCTGCTCCTCATATCACTGACCTGTAAGCTATCGTTCCATGTTCTTCTATTTTCTGTACTAAAAAAAAAAATCAGTATCTCGATTTTTCCTTGTCAAATAAGGTGGCTCTGGTCTTTGATTATTTTGGTTCCCCCTGTATTATCCTTTCCAATTTACTATCTTATTTTTGAATGCGGAAGATAGAATGTTCTGGCAGCTAGGTGGGGGGCTTAACTGCTCCAAGGATGCTGAGAGCTGTGCTGGCAGTAGTGTAACTACCAGCAGGTCCAACCAAGCCAGAGAGGTCTCAGCTGAGGAATGGAACCAAGAGCACCTAACCCATTAGCATTATGGAGAAGCAAACCAAAACAAAGTCTATACTGGCTCGGTCGACGCCCAGGATAAAAAGGATCGCGGTGGATGCTGCTGATTGTGGACATCCATCGACAAGTGGGCTACAGAATCAAAATACAAATGAGCCATCACAGAAGCGGCAGAAATATACAATGCCAGAAAACCGCAGAGTTAGAAAATGCTATTACAAATCAAAAGCATGGCTATCAAAAAAGGATTATCAATTGTGGAAACAAGATTATTATTATTATTATTATTATTATTATTATTATTATTATTATTGTGAGACCTCACAACCTCTGAGGATGCCTGCCATAGATGCAGGCAAAACATCAGAAGAGAATGCTTCTGGAACATGGCCATACAGCCCAAAAAACTTACAGCAACCTAACTTCCACATATTTTTCTCCTAAAAGCATGATAGCAGTAAAGGTGAAGGTTTCCCCTGACATTAAGTCTAGTCGTGTCCAACTCTGGGGGGTGGTGCTCATCCCCATTTATAAGCCGAAGAGCCGGCCTTGTCTGTAGACACCTCCAAGGTCATGTGGCCAACATGACTGCATGGTGCGCTGTTACCCTCCTGCCATAGCGGAACCTATCAATCTACTCACATTTGCATGTTTTCGAACTGCTAGTTTGGCAGAAGCTGGGCCTAACAGTGGGAGCTCACTCCACTCCCCAGATTCAAACTGCCAACCTTTTGGTCAACAAGTTCAGCAGCTCAGCAGTTTAACCTGCTGCACCACCAGGGGGCAAAAGAATTATTATATGTGATGTTATATCTACATTCTCTCTCTTAAATATTGGCAAGAACCAAACACATTCAGTGGAACAGCAGAGTGATTTGTGTTGTCAGTTTTCTGCTTTGACTCTTTCACTAAAACAAATTTTACCTGACACATGAGGAAAAAGTAATATTTACTCTTTTGAACAGTCACTTGGAAAATGTTGATTTATTTCCTGAAATTTTCTAATGACTAATCCCGGCAAAATACTCTACACAGTAAATTCAAATTCAACCTTTTCTTCAGGCAAAGTATCAAGGAAAAATCTAGCTGACAGCATTAGGCCAGCCAACTCTGAAACACTACTTTGTTTGTGTTTCCCTGCCATGACAAATAGGAATGTCTAATGGTTGGTATGAGTTGGTTTTGGTCACTTGCTAAGACATAGACTAAATTATTATTTATTTGCATAACGGATGTATAACCTATCTCATCCCACAGTCTGCGGCGGATTACAACCATAGTTAAAACCATAGCAACCCATATTAATGAAAGCAAAATTTCAGACAAGTAAAAAAACCATTTATTTATGTTTTATTTATTTATGAAATCCACCTGACTACAACTTTCAAATGCCCTTCTAGATGACCAGGAGGCATATGCATGGACAACCTTTTCCAGGAAACCAGTCCACAGTTTCTGGGTTACCAGAAGAAAAGCCCTGATCTTTGACACGTTGACTTCACACAGTGAAGCAAGTTGCGTGTCACTCCCTCAAGGAAGCTCAAAAAGCCATATGTTGAATTATTTAATTCTCACAGTGACCCTTGGTGTCCTGATGTCTTCCCTTACCTCCCTTTATGTGTTTGGGAGAAAGCTACAAGCATTTGCTTTTGCTTTTAATTAATCACAGTTGTCAT